GGTGGAGCTCTGGTCCTATTCACACTGCCAGCCCTAGAGCCATTGTTCTGTAGCACACTCTCTTGGGCTAAGGATCGGGAGTTGAAGGGGTTACTTTCTTTATCCCCCAGTCAGTCTCCAATGGGGGATCAGCCTGAAGGGGAAAAAAAGCGGAGGTACTCTTCCAAACTCTGCTTACTAATTAAACTCTGCTTATATGAGCAGACAAAATGTGACAGTGCTCACAGTATGCTGGGCAGATGTTCAAAATATGATGTTCTCTAAGCTCCACCTGGGGGGGGGCTTAAATATGCCCTTGGGTTCCCAGTAAATTGGGCAGATCTATGATCCTCCCTCTCCTTGCTTACATGAATGAGGAATGAAATCATTAACATTTAGACATTAAATTGATCATCACTGGGTATCTGAGCTGACACTTCACTAAGATGAACGGGGCAGTTCACACAGCTCAGAGCTATTGTAGGTTTTCAACAAAGTCACTTATGCTACCTTAGAGACTAACCAATTAATTGGTTAGTCTCTAAGGTGCCACAAGTCCTCCTTTTCTTTTTGCGGATACAGACTCACACGACTGCTACTCTGAAACCTGTCACTTATGCTAGAAGCTTTTGCTGGTATGGTATCATTATTAATCCTTAGCTCTCAGATAGCAGTTTTCATCAGTAGATCTCAATCATGCTGGTTAGGGGTGTGAATTTTTGCGACATTTCTATACTGACAAAAGCCCTAGTGCAGACGCAGCTATGCCATTATAAAAGTGCTTTTGACAAGTACAACTTATTCCATTCAAGGAACTGGTATAAATTATACTGGCAAAAGCATTTTTTGCGGTGTAAGATATATCTTTACTGGGGAGGGCTTGCTGGTCTAGCTATATATTTGCCCTTAGAAATCTCTGCACCCCCGGTTACACGTGATTCATATTTCTGAGGTTTTCTTCACAACCATAACAGCTAGAGGGCGTTCATTTTTTTAAATGAAAGCTCAGATTCTGTAGAACAAGATAGGTTTCAGAGTAACAGCCGTGTTAGTCTGTATTCACAAAAAGAAAAGGAGGTACTTGTGGCACCTTAGAGACTAACCAATTTATTTGAGCATGAGCTTTCGTGAGCTACAGCTCACTTCATCGGATGCATACCGTGGAAACTGCAGTAGACATTATATACACACAGGTTTCAGAGGAACAGCCGTGTTAGTCTGTATTCGCAAAAAGAAAAGGAGTACTTGTGGCACCTTAGAGACTAACCAATTTATTTGAGCATGAGCTTTCGTGAGCTACAGCTCAAGATGAAGTGAGCTGTAGCTCACGAAAGCTCATGCTCAAATAAATTGGTTAGTCTCTAAGGTGCCACAAGTACTCCTTTTCTTTTTATATACACACAGAGACCATGAAACAATACCTCCTCCCACCCCACTGTCCTGCTGGTAATAGCTTATCTAAAGTGATCATCAAGTTGGGCCATTTCCAGCACAAATCCAGGTTTTCTCACCCTCCGCTCCCCCCTCCCCCACAAACTCACTCTCCTGCTGGTAATAGCCCATCCAAAGTGACAACTCTCTTCACAATGTGTATGATAATCAAGGTGGGCCATTTCCTGCACAAATCCAAGTTCTCTCACTCCCTCATCCAACATTGTAGGGAGAGTGGTCACTTTGGATGAGCTATTACCAGCAGGAGAGTGAGTTTGTATATGTATGGGGGTGGGGGGGTGAGAAAACCTGGATTTGTGCTGGAAATGGCCCACCTTGATTATCATGCACATTGTAGGGAGAGGTTTAGAGGAAAGGTGTTAGTTGTATTCAAAAGAAAAGGAGTACTTGTGGCACCTTAGAGACTAACCAATTTATTTGAGCATGAGCTGTAGCTACGATTGCCATAAATTCGTGAGTCTACAGACTAACACGGCTTTCATCAGAAACTGTTGTAGGGAGAGTGGTCACTTTGGATAAGCTATTACCAGCAGGAGAGTGAGTTTGTGTGTGTGGTTTTTGGAGGGGGGTGAGGGGGTGAGAGAACCTGGATTTGAGCAGGAAATGGCCCACCTTGATTATCATACACATTGTGAAGAGAGTTGTCACTTTGGATGGGCTATTACCAGCAGGAGAGTGAGTTTGTGTGTGGGGGGTGGAGGGTGAGAAAACCTGGATTTGTGCTGGAAATGGCCCAACTTGATGATCACTTTAGATAAGCTATTACCAGCAGGACAGTGGGGTGGGAGGAGGTATTGTTTCATGGTCTCTGTGTGTATATAATGTCTTCTGCAGCTTCCACGGTATGCATCCGATGAAGTGAACTGTAGCTCACGAAAGCTCATGCTCAAATAAATTGGTTAGTCTCTAAGGTGCCACAAGTACTCCTTTTCTTAGAATAAGATAGCAGCTTGAAAGAGTTGCTACTAGTATGCCACAGATCTGCATAGTGGCCCAGTCCAAACCCATGTCTCCCATACTCCTTGCAATGTTTTAAACAGATGAATCCTTTCACATCCGTGACGCCTCCTCAGGAGCGGCAGAATAAGCTTTACACCCCCTTTTTTTCAGCCAGAGACAGTATGATCTTTACCCATCACTGTAAAATGGCCCTGAGCTAATTTTTTATGTCAGTTTTGCCTGCCACATTCAGGAAAATGTGAATGAAAAAAGTAAATCACCCCAAGGCATCATCAATATAACAGCCACGAGTGATATATTTGTCACTGTGCTATATGATATTATGATAGCAGGAAAAGGGAGAAAAGCAATATATTTCTTTCTCTTAACAACTCTAGTCAACAGGATTTTTCCAAAGCCATTTTAGTACTTTGCAAACTTTGGGGATTGAAGAGAAATTGACAGCACACTTACAATATTCATAGATATAGATATATATATATTCATCCCAAATCTATCTATCTATCTATCTATCTATCTATCTATATTTGGGATGATTAGATTGTTAGGGGTAAATGTTGGTAAACGTTGATTTCACCTTGCACACACAAACTGACAAAAATATTTCCAGAGAAAATAACTGAAATTTATGAAGTGAGAAAAATTGCTTGACAACCTATTAGAGTTCGATTTACCGATATTTACTTTGCATATTTTGACATGTGAGGTTGACAGTTTATGTTTTAACTGTAAGAAAGCTTGAACTTTTTGAATTCCATGTCTACTGTCCTTATTGCCTGATCCCTCATAATTTTGCACAAATGTTAAAATTTGAATGGAGACAAACTGAAAAAAGTGCTTAAATATAAACATCAATATTATCCGTCAATGTTATAAAAAATAAAAATGGAATTTTGCCAAATCTCTTTATTGGGCTGATGTAGGGATTTCCCCTTTGTGAGTTTGTCAAGATGCTGCAATCTTCATGCTGCCAGACTGTGACACTGGAATTACAGTACAGCACAACACTGATCATCCTCAATATGCATCAAACTGATCATTAATTCCTGTTGTTTTATGTCTTTTAGCCAGTTTCTGATCCTACTACTTAATTTCCTTAATAGCGTCTTGTGAGGGACTTTGTCAAAGGCTTTTGGAAAGTCAAAATAAATTATGTCAGCCAGTCATCCTTTATCCAAAATGTTGTGGATCCACTGAAAGAATTCTACTAGATTGGAGCGATACTATTTTCCTTTACAGAAGCCACACTTGGGCAGCTAAATGATGGCTGGGTAAGGCTTATGTTGTAGACACTACCTATGCCGACGGGAGGGATTCTCCTGTCTGCATAGGTAATCCACCTCCCTGAGAAGCAGTAGCTAGATCGTGGAAGAATTCTTTTATTGGCCTAAAGCTGTTTACACTGGTGGTTATATTTTTCCCATCCCTGAGAGAAGTAGATGCACCAACGTAAAATTCTAGTGTAGACCAGGCTGTAGATAGATACATGGATGAATGGATAAATAAATTTGCACCTAACAACCTTGCACAGGAAAAAATGTCACTTTGAGTGATGACACTGGAAAGGAACGTTCAAACTTGCAACAGCTGAATTTGCTTTCCCTCAACAAACACAAAAATGGCATGGTGAGCTGTTACCAGTTTGAACATTGCTTTCCAATGTTATGACTCATGAAATTTTTTCTGATTGCCCATTCTTGTGATTTTATCACGGCATTTCTCGTTTTTCGTATAGCCCCGGCTCCTAGACATAACTGATTATGTGAGCTTCTCAGCTTTCATTAAAGAAAAGTAAGTTGTTGGGCAGAAAAGCTGAAACATGTGACCTGAGAAAAGAAAAAGAACCTAGTATTTATTGTTGTTTGTTTTTTTAAATCTCATAATTTTTAAGCCAGTCTCTTGAGTTGCTGTGGCCTGACACATGAGATTTGTGAAGGACTGGGGTTGGCAACAAGGGGTCACTAATGTTTGTAAAGTGCGATATAATTGTTAATAAGACAGTTACCTTTTATGCCTTGAAGGCACAATCACGCTCCTCCAGTCCCGGAGCTGGAGTGAACCCAGGAGTGCCCAGATGAGAGGCAAATACGTTGGGGGACTGAGTGGGATGGAAGGCCCCACCTAGACGTAAGCCGGGTATTATGAGGGATGGGATTCAGGGGGATTTGGACTGGGGCGAGAGGAGGGTGACCAGATATCAGGTGTGAAAAATCGGGACAGGATGGGGGGTAATAAGCACCTATATAAGGCAAAGCTCCGAATATCAGGACTTTTCGCTATAAAATCGGGACATCTGGTCACCCTATGGGGGGGTTGGTTTGGCCCCTTACAGACAAACCAGTTGGGGTCTGGGGCTGGACCCCCTGATTCTGGGGTGTCAGGGTGGAGGGAGCATCTTCCCCTCACGGCTTTGCACACTAACCACCGCCCCCTTTCTGGGTCCCCAATGGGCCCCAAGGCTGGGGTCTGGCCCTGGCCCCGCTGGACGATGGGAGGGGGAAGGGCGGGCCCGGGCCCTACTCAGGAAGCGGGCGGGGGCGGGTTCCATGGAACTGTCACTCCTTTGAGCGGCGCTCTGTGATTTGACAGCCGGCTGGACACGTGGGGGCAGGGTGGGGCTATATAAGTCCGGGCAGCGAGAGCGGTTGCCGCCATTTTGTCCAGTGAGGAGACGGGGAGCGGGAGCGTGTTTGGGATCGAGTCGGCTGCGGCGTAGCGCGTGCTCCCTTCTCACGCCCACCCCGGGAGTCGGTGAGCGCCTCCCCCGGGGGTCAGGGCGAGGCTGAACCGGGGCCCGGCTCCGCGGCGGGGCGGATGGAGCCGTCAGGGCCCGCCGCGCGCCGAACAAAGAGCCGCCGCCATTTTGTGTGGCGGGGCCCGGGCGGCGGCCGCCCGCTAATCGGACCGCGGGGCCCCCGAGGCGGGGGCGCAGCGGGGAGAGAGCACCTGAGGCGCGGCTGGGCGAGAGGCGCCGCGGGGGTCCGGATCCTCATCGGGGCGGGCCTGGATGGAGCCCCCTGCCCATCTCGCCTTCCCGTCACCGGAGCTGGCTTGGGGAGCGCGGGGCTTCCCGCTGAACTGCGCGGGGAGGGGTGTCCCCGCTCTCCGTGCAGCTCCGGGGGGGGGGGGGCAGGCTGGTGGTGCACGCCCGGCTTGGGTCTGATCCGGGTCCCCTCCGCGGCGCGCGCCTGGGCCTGATCCGGGTCCCCTCCGCGGCGGGCTGCCCCGCTGCTGGCCCTCCGTGCGCAGGTCAGCTTCGCGCGCTGCCCCGCGAACAATGGAGCCCTCGGCACGCGCGGGCGGCGGCGCCCCCTGCAGGCTTTGCTGGTGCCAGCGTTCCAGACCTGACATTGACACGCTGTCGCGGGGGCGCGAGTCTCCTAATAACACCTCTTCTGGAAGAAATACTTGAGCCTTTAGCGTTCAGCCTAGTTTCGAGTCCGCCTGTACCTGGCATAGTCTCCGGGGCCGGGGGTTAAAGAACCACAGGTCCTGGCTTCCTCCCCAAGAAGGCTGCTCTTTCTTGGAGTTCGCTAACTTGAGTTAAAATCCTAGTGAAGACCAGTCCGTTTATAATTTTAACACATGTTAACCTGTGGGGGAGCCCAATCTTTACTCTTCATTATGTATCATTGCTGTGGTTTCTGGGTGCAGTAGTTTTTAGTCACCTAATTCCTATGGATTTCAGTGGATGTTAGCCTAACAACCTCTGAGGATCTGGACCAAAGGCCAAAATAAGGCACTTATCTGTAGGTTGAATGGAAGTAAAAAAAAAACTTACTTTAAGTATTTCTCTTCTAGTGATGCATCGTGACTCTTGTCCGCTGGACTGCAAGGTTTATGTAGGTAACCTTGGAAACAATGGCAACAAAACTGAATTGGAACGAGCTTTTGGCTACTATGGACCGCTGCGCAGTGTGTGGGTTGCTAGAAATCCTCCTGGCTTTGCTTTTGTTGAATTTGAAGATCCCCGAGATGCAGCTGATGCAGTGAGAGAACTAGATGGAAGGTAAAATTTGCTTTTTAGGCTATGGAGTTAATTTAATTAAAACTAAACAATATAGACAGTGTTAAGCAACTTGTATTCTAACTTAAACTGACCAAGATCCAGTGATACTGAAACATCATGGTCTTGAGTTTCTTAACCAATCATGCAGTTGTTGGTTAGTATTAATTAAAATAGTTATTCTGCATTATAAATTAAACTAGTCGGCAAGTGAAGTGGTTAACTATGTAAAAATAAGCTTTTTTCCCCGATAATCTCAATGTTCATATTTTTGGTCATTGAAGCCAGATCCTTTGGTGTAATGTTTGGGGGGGTGATTAATTGTTTTTATACTGGCAAAGCCCTAGTGTAGAGGTATTTATTCTGCAAAGCAGTCCTTTTGCTGCTATAGTTTTTCATTTGGGGAATTGGTATAGGAAATGTTTTGTTGGTATAAGCCGATATTACTTGCTGGTATGCTGACAAATCCTTTCTAGTATAGACTTGGCCTGAGATTGGAAATTCGAAATACCTAAAAACACATCTAGGAGAAATACTTGAGCCTCTAGAGCTCAGACTAGTTTGAGTCCACCTTTACCTGGCATATGGGGCACAAGAGATGGACATCTATGTCAAGAACACTTCATTTTGAGTTGAAGGGAATTTTTAGATTTTTCTGAAATAATTTAGGAATACACAATACTTCAGAAGTGTCTAGTGTTTGATCATTGCTTTTAAGATGGAGTTAAGTTTAAAATTTGAAATGCATGAGAACAAAAATAGAGTTTAGCTTTGAGCTGTTAAATATTTTAAAATAGTGATACTAAAATATTTGCATTTTGACAGCCAGCCAGATTTAAACCTATTAACAGCTGAGCAACCTACCCTGATTTTGAGTTCATATGTCTCTATAGCTACAACTGAGTACAGACTTCACACAAAACCCTAGTGCAATGGTTCTCAAGCTTTTATACTGGTGACCCATTTCACATAGCAAGCCTATGAGTGTGACCTGTTTGTTAATTTTTTCATATATGTAACCACAAACGCTGGAGGGAAAGCGGGGTTTGGGGTGGAGGCTGACAGCTTGCGACCCCTCTCCTGATCTCCAGTTTGAGAACCCCTGCCATAGTGCAATTGACACTTGCATAAATTGTGTCTGAGTGTTAAATGCTATCCCTTCATTTCAGTTGAATTTAAAAATGAATTGGTTTAGTTTTCTTGTAAAATCCTCTATGGAGAGAGGAGATGCAGGATTTTTTGTTCTCTCAGAAATGGTAGTAGGGAAGCCATTTTTGTTCTAGAGTATACAGTAAAATCTGCTTCGATTAATTGTCAGATTTTATCTTGACATAAGACAGAAATGCTGTGAAGGTATAAAACTGCAGTGTTCACTAAAATCTATCCTCTTTAGTTTCCAGCTGTATCAGATATATATAAAAACTACAGTTTGAGTTAATGGAGTCAAATCTCCAAAATCCATGGCCAGAAGACACTGGGTCTCCCTGTTTAAGTAACTTTGGACATGAGAGGCTCTGGTCACCTGTGAATTTGTTTAGACCTTTTTATATTGTGCTCATTATGGTAGTATCCGAGCACCTTATGTATTTGACTAACTGTACAGAACAGATGTTTCCCTTCTCCAGCGCATATCAGCGTGTCTTCAGTGCACACAGATCTGTTGCTTACAGCAGCCTTCTTTTCCAGAACACTCTGCGGGTGCCGTGTCAGGGTGGAGCTGTCTAATGGTGAAAAACGGAGTCGTAATCGTGGTCCGCCACCGTCATGGGGTAGGCGTCCTCGAGATGATTATCGCAGAAGAAGTCCTCCTCCTCGCCGCAGGTACCCTAGGTCAAAGATCATGCATAGAGCTGTTGAAATTGTTACCATTTAGCATCATAGAAGCAGGCTTTCTTTAAAGCATGTTGATGGGTAACATCTTAAACATCCTGATCACAATTCGGAGATGCCAGACACTTTATATAAAAAATCAAGGTGAACATAAATTGTATTGAACGTTGGCTTTTGTCCTTAGGTCACTGTGTAAGTTGATAGTCAGCGCCCTCTGCCCTGGACTTATCCTTTTTCTTCCTAAAATCTACACATCTTCTAGTCACTTTCCCTTTCTTCCCATACATCTACTTAGGCTGTTCCCTTTCCTTTACTCCATAATGGCAAACATTACATACAGCAACTTAGCTTTTCCATGCAAGTGCATTTCTCCACTTCGTAACAATTCAAATATTTGCCATGCAGGCAGCTGTTTAATAATGTTAAAACAAGTAACAGTTGCATTTAAATGTACAAATCTAATTTGGCACTAGTAAAGAGTTTAAAACGTCTTGTGACAATGTCATTTGAGTTTTGCAAACCCAAATCTAAAATAGCAGGGTTTTTGTTAACTGCCTATATTCTTGGACCCGGACTAACTTGTCTGGATGTTATAAAACCATGCACATCACATCTACAACATGGTTCATACAGGACTGAATTTACCTATTGCAGGTGAGTGAAGTCCTCGCAGGATAAGCTTGAAACCATGTCCCTTTTGCTGTTTAAAAAAACCCCACAGTAGGAGGATGTTAGCTGATAGATGGTTGTACTGATGGCTTGTTTTTCATTTTTTTATGCTTTTTGGTCCATCTATTAATAAAAATGAACCCGTTACAGAGTCACCATCATGTCTCTTCTCACCACCCTCTGAGTCTGCATTAGCCAGTCAACTAGCCCTTTCAGCGTCATGTGACCAGCGCGCCCCATTCAGCTTGGCTGGTGTCGTTTCACATGACCCAGGCATGGCCAGTCGTCAGGTTGCACCGCCCTTTGGTTCCCGAGCATGCTGTTTTCTCTCAGCCTTCTCTCCAACCTTAACCAAATCGGCAGCAGCCACCTCGACCGCCCACACATTCCCGGCCAATCAGCTCAGCTGTTTATTTACCAAATGTCTTCACAACAACTACAGCAGCAGCCTTCGGCTAACAAAAAAGCAGGAAAAATCCACAACACCCCCTTCGCCAACCAACTAAATACAACGCAACATCTGGCAAAACCTTTTCAGCAAATTCTTCTTGGCAGTCAGTCCGGCAGCCTCACCTCACCATTTCTAGCTTGTTGAAACCAAAAACTAGTAAGTTTTTCCTGGTTATACAGTTTACTGCTGGTTAAAATAAGGAGTAAGCGGCTTATAAGTAATTATTTTTCTCAATCAAAGGCTGGCTGTGCATAATTGAGTGGTAACGTACATATGTTGCTTGAATAAAACTTTTAAGGGTGATAAGGAAACTTTTTTAATGTAAATGGAACCAAAAGTAAATGAGGTATATTTGCATGTGAGATGCCGAACTAAATTTTTAATAAAGCTCTAACAAATTTAGCTTTTCCTTGCAAATCTGCCAAGTCCTATCACCTTTAAATGGTTTTACTAACAGTTTTCAAAACTTAAAACAATTACTTTTTTGGGATGAACTGGGCCAAGCTAAGGTTTTTAAGTCTAAACACACTCTATGGCATTTCAGAGAATGCCTGTCACAAATATGCAGTTCTAATGTAGCACTTAATGGCATATCAGTATTTACACAGAGCGCATTTTCACTTTTTCTCCACTTGGTATCTCTTGTCTTGTCATGGACCTTTTTGGCTTGCATGGGTTCCAAAACATTGGTCTATGCTGTTTTTTGGAACCACTTGTGGGACTTTGGTGTGGTGTTCTGGGCAGTGGATTTAGTTGAAATGGAAGTGTTGCATTGGACAGGTCTGCTGTGAAGTATTTAGTTAAAGTGAATTCTTGGTTGCAAAAGTGCTGTTCACACTGAGCTTTGTTTTACTGTGTTAATCTTTCCATACATTTTTACTGGACGATGGGTGCCAGATGTTTCTTGGCACGTTCACTGGGCCCAACAGTGAGTTTGACAAGTTGGGAAATACCTCATCCCATTAATGCTAACGAAATTGATAAAAAGCCTCATTTTTTCTATTTCTGGTTCTAGATCACCACGAAGGAGGAGCTTTTCTCGTAGCCGCAGCAGGTAAGCAACAGTTGGTTAAACATGGGCTCTGTTTTATCCAGAGTACTTTCTAAGGAATCTTTTCTTAATAAAATCTTTGGTTTTATTCACAAGTTTCATATTTAAAGTAGTTCTGTGATAGAAAACATAAAACAGTTTTAAGATTTGGTAAATGTTCTGAAGAACACTTACCTAAAGACTGTTTTAATAGGTTCCAGGGTGGATGGGGATGGGGGAGGGAAAGCATTTCCATTACTTTGGGTTTGCTCCATCATTGCTTGGTTTCTAGCATTACTGCATGCATGGCAGTAATACATCTTGTTTCCTTTTGGCACGCTGCTTCCCTCTGCTGTGTTGAGACACTCACACAAACTGCTGGGGAAATTGATGGTACCCCAAGGCTGTCCTACTCATGAAATGGACTGCCTCTAGAGTTTTTTGTTTTCCTTCAGAGCACTCATAGGAAAAGTTGCGTCACTAAAATGCATTAGTTTCTTGGACCATAAAGCTGCTTTAATAGCATGTAGGTACATGATACAGCGGTTGGTTGAGCACAGGAAACTGTCAGATGGAAACCAGTGGGCCTCTAGTACTACAGTACTGTGCATGTAATTTTTAAAATTTATTGATTAAATATAAAAACATAAGCATGCAATAGGAGTTTTAACCAGTATCAGAATTCAAGCTGATTATTCCTCTGACTACATGAGGAGGAAGAGGCTACTGTCACAACTGCCTTTATTAATGGATAAGTTTCCTGATTAAATAGTTCGAAACATTACAGAGAATGTGATTCTTTTTAATGAGGTGTAATAGAATTGTACACTTAATGCAGTGCTGAACTAGCCATGCGAAACATAAGGGCAGTGATATTTGAAAAAGGTCATTTGATGTAAAAAAGTAATGTGCTCAAATAGTACATTGCAAAGATGGAAAGGCCTGCAGTTTTCTTCTTCACTTCAGTTGTAAGACACTTAAATACACTTGAACTTTCTTTACACTATTTCTTTGCACAGTAATGCTCATTCATGCATATTCAAACATTCTCTTGTAATATAATCCAGTTAAACTTTTCCCTCATCTGGATAGTCATCTTTTATTGTAATCTCATAGGTCCCTCTCTAGAGACAGAAGAAGAGAGAGATCACTTTCACGGGAGAGAAATCACAAGCCTTCCCGTTCCTTTTCCAGGTCTCGTAGGTAAGAATATGTTGTATCTGCAGATTTCACTTTCTAGTTAATTTTGAAAGGCTTATTATGCCATATCAATGCAGTAACTGAAAGCTCTGCTACAGTTAACATTTTTCTCTAGTGCTTTAGATAAGTGCTTTTCTCAAGGAACTTGTAACCTAAGATCAGTTTTGATATGGTTAAAAACTGTATTGAGTAGGATGAAGTTATAAAGCACTTTCAAAAACTTTAAGTATGTAATTTTAGAGTTGGATTGGAAGTAACTTCCCCAAGTAAAATAATATTTGTTCCATCTCTAATAAACTAACTTTCATTCTCTTATTTAGTCGTTCCAGGTCAAATGAGAGGAAATAGGACTTCAGGAGGAGCTGTGTACAGGAAGTCATTAGATCTGAGCACAGGAGGGAGGAGTATGTACAGAACATTGTGTTTTGTTTGAGACTTCATAAAGCTTGGTGCATTTTTAAAATGTTTTAGCTGTTGAACTTGCTTTGTTTCTTGTATCTTGTAACAGGTGACAAATGTAAAGATGTGAATCTGTATATGGTTCTGAGCAGATCATATGATTTGTAATAAACTTGTTTTACAATGTACCCGTATGCTTAACTTTCATTTGCTTTGAGTGGTGTTCAACTTGTCTTGCATAGACAAATATTTCTAGTTTCCATATTGTGTCCTGGAATCTTTTCTGGGGAGCAAATGTAGATAACTTTTGAAAGGAAAGTTGCAGTGAATATTCACTAATAAACGTGTTACAACATCAGACTATTGGGTTTATCCAGAACAAGATGGTGATTTCTAGTACAGTTTTTGGAAAGAAGGCAAACTGCAAACCAGTAGCAAGTAAAGGGAATGACTGAATTGCAGGCAGTTTTGTAATGAGCTTTTTGGGGAAGTTGTTGATTTCCCACATTGGAACTCTGAAGGGCTACATTGTGTAAAATGTAGATTATCCCTTGGGCCCAGGTAATTTTTGTACTTAATGTGATTAGTGCATTTTTTAAAATACTTGATTGCTTAAAATGCAAGCTGTTTGGTTAACCATATGTTCCAGAATTTCTGAGAAGACCAAATTAAACAACTGGAGTGGATGGCTTGAGTGCATATGGGTACATTGTAGAAGTGAAAGACATTACTGTGCAAGAATTTTCATGTCACTTGTAAAATGTTTTGTGAAATCCTTGGGATTAAAGTTTTGGTTACAAATTTGTTGTAAGCATTTAACTTTTGAATATCTGACACATTTCCATGCAGAACATTTAAATCTGGATGGATTAGGCACATCTTAGTTAATGTAATACTGTTTCAAGGTAAAGGGAGTTAAATTACAGCCATTTAAATTTAATATATTTGGAATAATTAGCTAGTCAGCAGTACTACATTTCAGTTTTAAAATACAAGTAATTGAGAAGCCACTTGCTGCTTGGAAAATAGTTAACTGTGCTCCATGACTTAATGAGGCTGGGTCTATGATGGCTGGGCAGTCTGTCAGGATTACTCTTAAATTCAGTCTTAGTGTTGTGCTTCTCAGTAATGAAACACTAGTTCCAAAAACATTAAGTATATCTAGGGTGTTCACTTCCCATAATTGAGTTGACAACCTGTTTAATAATCAGGGATTCAGCATTTATCAGCCTAGCTTTCTATCATGTATGTCCATAAGACTTAAAATTGCTTGTCTGTAAACTGAAGTCTTGCATGGAGATTTCACACAGGGTGTAAAAATACTTCATGGCATGCTTCAAGTGTAATTAGAGCGCCAAACTGCATAATGCTCCTTTTCTTCCTATGTTCGGGGGGAATGGTACATTGGATTTTTTTTTTTGTGCATTTAGATTAAATCCATCATACTTTGAACAATCTTGTGGTTTAATTTCCTGAAATGTCTATAAAAAGAAAGAAGGGTGCTGCATCATTTACTTTAATCTTGAAGTTTTAATGCAAGGAATTGTTATACTAGTGCCATTCTACTCTAGGACTTTTTTTATTCACAAGGAAAATAGATGTTAGGTGTTAATAGAATGGAAGAGTTATGCACAGGATACAAATAATCACTCATCAGTAGCAGCTTCAGTTCTCAGGTGGCATCCAAGTCTCACCCATCTGATGTAATGGGGCTTATTCCTGACTAAAAATAAAGGTAGTCCCTGGTAATTTAGCAAAAACACTGCTCATGGTTGCTTTCTTTTAATCTTTCTGCATAAACTGATAGCACCCAACAAAGTAGGCAAGTACTTTCAATTTAAGATTGCAGTCTGGCCAGAGCAAAATCTTAATTGCTTCTTAAAATCCTAAACACAGTACACACAAATGGGATAGTCATGTACTTCTCCATATTTCTGTGGTTACTATTAAACCACATGCTTTTCTGGATATGATTGACTAATCCAAAGATGATATAGGAAATGAATTGCAGCTTTTAATGCAATGCAGCATCTGTGCATGAACTTATTCTCTTATCTTGAGATTTTTAGATGGTCATAAAAATGACCAAGTTTTCAAAAATGGTCAGTGAGCATGGGTATTTTTTGCATGTCCAGCATGATACCTTGGTCTCTTCCAGAAGAGCAGAGAACATACAGGTCTTGTAGACTTGAGTTGGAGTTTGATTCTGGGGGTCTCAAATTGGCAGTCTCATGTGATGACCATGTTGGGCAGCTAGTATGCATGGATTAGCTAGCTGGCAAGTTACCCTCTGTATTGTAGTACCATGTTACTATTACTAACTTTAGTTCTTGGTATATCCTTTGTCAAATACTCCTTACTCCTCATTTGGTCTCTGCTTGGGGAGACTTATTTTATACTATTAGAAAAGCACCCAGACACCAGTGTGGAAGTGACCTGGATCTATAGGTCTCAACCTTTCCACGCTATTGTACCCCTTTCAGGAGTAATTTCTTATGGACCCCAAGTTTTACTTCACTTAAACGACTTGCTTACGAAAGTCACAGCACATTACTGAAATGGCTTGCTTTTGTCTGTATAAAATTTTAGTTTGTACTGACTTTGCTAGTGCTTTTTACAGAGCATGTTGTGAAACTAGGCAGTTATCTAGATGAATTGAGGCACCCCATGGAACCACTGACCTGGATGAACAGCTGTACCTTTCCTCCCTCCTCTGCTCTCAGCACTTCATACAGGGGCTGCCACTGGGATACTTACAGCTGCAGTTTTTGTCTTCACAGCTTCCTGTGGGTGATCTTTCCAGCTACAGGTGGGTTCTTCTAGGGGTTAAGTTTTGAGGGGGTAGTTAAAACCACTAAAGTTTGAATAAAACAAAATGCATTCTCTACTTTGTGAAGTTGTAGAGATGCAGTGCACTCCAGGAAGGGTGGTTGTGTGATTCCCCCACCACAGTGTAGATGGGAATTTTTCTGACTCAACCTGCCTTTCACATACTGCCTAGAAATCACTACAAACAAATTGACCCTTATTTAGGTAGGGAATGTCCTACTACATCAGACCAGTGGCTCTTTTTCCTCTGGCATATCTCTGATAGAAACCAAGTCAGGTGCTTTAGAGGAAGGTGCTAGAATCACTATAAAGGGACAACTATAAATCTGACCAGGAGGCACTACTTGACAGTGCCTTATTTGTAATGCTTTCTTCTCTAACAATGCATGTTTTCCCACACCAAACTCAGCATTTCATGCCTAGTTATGGAATAGACAAAAGGGATGTGGATCAGCTGTGATTTGCCAGTGCTGCCTTTAAGAAAGGGAAAAAAAGACTCCACATGGTCCCTTTGGAACCTATGTAGTAAGATTCCAAGAGTCAGCATGAAGTAATGGAAGCAGCTGCAAGCAAAAGTCAATCCACCACCCCACACATGCATAACCCCTAAACTTGCCATCTACCCCAGTCTCCCAGCACAGGATAACCCATGTGCAAATCAACACAACCAGAACACAGTAACCCCTGATCACCACTCTGAAGCATAGAACATAGTCAGTATGAAGCCATAAACTACTAAAAGATGATTGAGGGCTCTTTTTGTAATCAAGTTCAATCATCACTGGGCTTCAGTCTGTTACCAGCCAATTTAAGTTCTGACTTTCAGCTTTTTTAGAAAAAAACCCACAATTTTACAAGTTACACCCATGTGATAATACAGGCTTTAAGCAACTAGTTAAGTATATATGGAACATGTGACTTGGTTTTATAATCAACTTTGGTGTTCATTGGCTAAGCTGGATGTAAAACAAAAAATACCATAAAACATGAAGAATGTGTTGAAGGGAATTTGATTCCTTCCATAAGACTGTTAAATTCAGCACATCTTCAAGTAGCCTTTGCCTGTTCACGCTGGTGGAATCAAAGCACCTGCACAGTGATTTATAGAAAGTAGTGTCTTGAGGCTACTCCTTCCCCTTCCAATCCTGGAGAGTTCCCAGGATATAAAATGAGATGCTCCAACCACCTTTCAGTCACAGTGCTAAAGGTGCAGCAAGCTTGGATTGCACACACTGTCCTCAACATTTTCCTTTCCCCACCCCTTTTTCCAAGCTCAGAGTGCACATTTTGTTCACAGTCAAGTGCTCAGTCAGATTTTTTTTTTTTTTTAAAGAAAAAGCTGGCACGGGCTTTGTTTGGGGGTGCCTCACAAATCTCTACTGATAAAAGGCTGGTCTGCTAAGTTCCACATCTACCTGAGGATCTGGTCTCCAGGTCGACCTAGGAGGCCTGGTTATGTGCCTAAACTGACTGGCTGTCAGATTCAGTTTCCAAAGGGTCTAGTCCTTCAGCAAAGCATGGAGCCAGGGCTGTAAAACCAGGATCCTGGTTTGGCAACCAAGGTTGGATCAGGAGCTGAAAAACTCAGATCTCCATTTAACAGCCACCCACTGGTCCTGGAGCTGCAAAAGCCATACCTGGATCCACAGTGCACAGATCCTGAGCTGTATTTTTTTTAAAAAGGAAAAATACCCAGATTTGACAGCTGAGTACAAGCCTGTAGCTGACAGCTATAGAGCCAGAAACCTAGCCTGCATCTGGATCTGATAACATGGATCCAGGGCCAGAGACTGGATTCAGATTTGACAGGCAAACAGGAAGGACCAAATGAAATTAATAGGCAGCAGGTTTAAAACAAACAAAAGGAAGTGTTTCTTCACACAACGTACAGTCAACCTGTGGAACTCTTTGCCAGGGGATGTGGTGAAGGCCAAGACTATAACAGGGTTCAAAAAAGAACTAGATAAGTTCCTGGAGGATAGGTCCACCAATGGCTATTGGCCAGGATAGGTAAGGATGCAAAGCCATGCTCTGAAGTGCCCCTAGCCTCTGTTTGCCAGAAGCTGGGAACAGGCAACTGCCTGTTCTGTTCATTCCCTCTGGGGCACCTGGCATTGGCCACTGTCAGTAGACAGGATACTGGGCTAGATGGACCTTTGGTCTGACCCAGTCTGGCCGTTTTATGACTGCCAAGCACAATTGGCAAGAAGAGGTCCAGGTGCTTGGGATCTAGCCAGTATGAGAATGACACCTTTGAGTACTGAGAGTCACTTGACTAGTGGTTCTGTACCACTAAGACCCCACATCTACTCACACCACTGGGGAGTCTAGTACTGCAATTCCAACACTATAATCGTTGCAGAACCTCTTACCTTACTGATTCCGTGCCCAACATCGTGGTCAGAGCACACAGGTCCAGCCTGGGAGGCCCAGATCCTCAAAACATATTTAAGTGCTTAAGTCCTCAAAACATTGGACAGGGGAAATGCATTACAAACTTCTGATCGGATCCAGGGAAATGCATTACAAACTTCTGATCGGATCCAGGATTTCTCTTGAGAGAGGAGAGTTTTAACATTTGCTTCATTTGGCCATTTTCAGAAGCATACACTCGATGTCCTGCTTGTCTGGGAGACGGTTTCTCCACTTCTGATACTCCATCTATGAGACCCTTCTGTTTTGAAGGCAAGAAGAGGGAGCCATCGTTAGACTCCTACTATCAGAAGTCTTAGAAGCAAATTTAGTCGGTTTTGGGATTGTCTGTTCCCTTGGCTCTGGGTAGGATCTGTTGACTGTCTCTTAGAATCACAGAATATCAGGGTTGGAAGGGACCTCAGGAGGTCATCTAGTCCAACACCCTGCTCAAAGCAGGACCACTCCCCAACTAAATCATCCCAGCCAGGGCTTTGTCAAGCCTGACCTTAAAAATATCTAAGGAAGGAGATTCCACCACCTCCCTAGGTAACGCATTC